GGCCACCGATACTGTGCACTCATATCTGACCACATCCTCGGCTGCAACCGATTCAATGAGTTCTTTAAACTCATTATAATCGCCAAAACTCAGCAACAGATCCATAAGTTTTCGGTGGTTTTTGTGCGAATCGTCTCTTAAGATATCCGAGAAATAGGGGAACCGATTGGAGGGAAGAGTTTCAAGCGTTTTGTCAATCAATCTGAAGAACTTCTTCAGCGATTTTAACTCCACATTTGATTCGTTCAACCGTTTGTTCACCAAATCAAGTGATTTCTGGACACTCCTCGCGTCGATGAGATCTTCGGGCAATGAGTGGTACTTATGATCATCGCTAACGTCTGTGTCCTTAAAACTATGGCCGAACAGATCATCCATTTCTGTCAACTGTAATAGAAATAAAGACAAAGAGTTAAATAAATGCTATTAAATGTCAATTTATTAGATAACTGTTTCAGTGTTTTCAATACCATTTTGAGAGACAATTCACCGCATGTCTGGCCGTCACTCGGGATTAGCGTAAACGCAAAGCCAATCAACTCTTCGATTAAGACGATAAATGTCGGCAATTGTCTCATCAATGGCTTGTAATCCTTGCGATTGACCACATTTTGCTCGACAGTCTTCTGGAGATCAATGAAATAGCGATTGTCGCCTGACTTTCCGTTCAATACATTACTAGCGATGGTTTGAACGCAAACGCTGTCCACAACCGAATAGAAGTACTGGAGCTCATCGGCGGTCAAACAGTGGGCCGACTCGTGGGCCGTCAACTCCCGGCACAACACGTCCAACAGTTCTCGACAACGTTGATGTCGAGCCACGAGTTTGACGTAATGGCGGCGCCAATTGAAATGCGAGCACATCTTCAGCCAAAACATGACACCGAACGCGATCTCGTCGTTGAACAGATCCAACACCGACTCGTAGTACAGGGCTTCGGCGTCTGTCAACAGATCCGTCTCTTTCAGCACAAACGCGAACAACAGTTCAGTGATCTGATGGCGAGCGCTGTCATCGGCGGTAATGAGCGGCACTTTGTCCACCACTTGAGGCCAGAGACGGTCGCGGAACCACTCGTACGAGTCGGTCATCGCCGCCGACC